CCGTGGCCGCGTGGACCTTGAGTTTTCCCCTCCACATTTACAAATCAACATCACGCGTTTTGAGTATTCGGCTTGATATACATTTCCACGTGATGATAAGCCACTTCGTTGAGCTATCATTTGTGATAGCCAGGTCGCTTCTGAAAATAAGCTATATAGCTCAGTGGGCCTGACCTGGTAAAATACAAAATAGTTCATAGTTCATAGCAAGGGAGATTCAATTGGACAGGGAGCCTTCTCCCAATTTCATTTCTTTCCCCAAGGCCCATGCCGGTCCTTTGACGCGACAATCCAATCTGGCTCCCTGCCTACGCACGAGAGCTGCTGATGTTGTTGTTGTTGCTGCTCCATCTCCACGGTGGATGTCCTCTCGACCGTGTCCGCTCCTTCGGCTGTCGCTCTCTGTCGCGACTTGTCGAACCAGCGGCCGCCGTCCCGAAAGAGAAACGCGTTGTGTTCGAGCGGGCTTACTTATTGTTTTAACCTACCGTCCATGTGATGATGTCTCTAGCTTAATGGGTGCGTTTCTCTAATGCGCGTGCTCCTCTCCCCTGTCGCTCAGTGCAAGTGTAGATATCTATTCACCCATATCTGGGTGTAAATTCTGCACATCTAACAGCACAGTGATATATATATCTATATATACCATCTGCACTGTTTAACAGATGGTATATATACCGTCTGTTAAACAGTGCCTCGTGTTTGTATTTCTTTTTTTTTAACGTCTGGTGCGTCGACAAAGCGGCGAGTTTCTCAGAATTGAATTTGAGCTCAATTGTCACGACAAGCCGGAGATGGGCAGAGCCGTTTCACAATGTGCCTTGCGAGCATTACAGTGAGGTGATTGTAGACCTACGTCGGCCCAAAATATCCCACAAGTCACTGAGGGCTTAAGGCGCCAGGGAGCAGGCGGTGAGACGGGAAGGATGACGGGGGTGGAAAGGGCAATGAATGTGAACAACACGGAATGCATTCCAGCAGCAGCGTAGAGCCTTAAGAGACTGTAGGGGCAAGTGCTGTTAGCGAGCACCTATGAAGGCCGACACGGCACACGAAGGGGCGGGTGGCCATAACCGCGCTCGGCCACCTTTGTCTCCCCAGTAGCGATGTTTACACGCCGCACCAGGTACTCATTTGAGGCTGAGTCGACTTAGGGGAGGCCCATGACCGGTTCAGATAATCGTCACTGGTGTTGGCCGTGAGCGGGGATCGAACCCGGGTCACCAGATTCGTAGCGCAGCGTGCTAACCGCTACACCACCGGTTCAGATAATCGTCACTGGTGTTGGCCGTGAGCGGGGATCGAACCCGGGTCACCGGGTTCGTAGTGCAGCGCGCTAACCGCTGTAACCGCTGCACCACCGCTCCCCCCACATAGAGACACGTACGTGTACGAAAAATAAGCGAAGCAAGCGGAAGAGATGGTGAGATGACGTCGTAGAATTTGGAGACCAATTATTGGCCAGGAACCTCAGGAACGAAACAGCATGGGGAAGACATTAACCCAGCAGTTGGAAATCGCAGTCTCACAACGACAATGCACCGTTCATTTGTCAATCCAATGCTAAATAGGATGTGACCATACTTCCCCACACCAAATGATTATTATTTCACCACGCTGGTTCAGTGCAGCTTGAAAGTGGTGGGAGTGGGGGGGGGAACGTACCGATGGATTTTACTTTACTGCCTTCCGTTGCCCAACATCGCCACCCACGCCTGCTGTTGTTGTGTGCGTGATGGTCAACCATCAAAGCACTGGCTCGGCTCAAGCCTGCTTCGGCTTGACTCCGATTACACTGGTCTGCAATGTTTTAGACGTCGTCTGCTTCAGAGATGAAATGTGCTGTTTATTATGGATTTTGATGTGCTGAATTAAAATATGACAGCCCCCGCACGTGATTATCTGCGGGGGGCTTGTAGGGTCTGCGAAAACTCCCATCATCCACGCCCTATTTATCCGAATCATGTTTTTTTCCCCCCTCCATCCTGCATTGCCGAATAACTTCCTATTACCCACAATATTTTTCACCGATAAGCGGTGGGTCAATTATTTATATTTTCGACGATTATCCGCCTGATTATTTTCACGGATAAGTGGAGCCAATTTGTTTATAACATCGCACATAATAGGATCAGCGACGTTCATTCTACCACCCTTGTACCCCCCCCCCTCCACCGCATCGCTGCGAATAACAGGAGTTTTACTATAGAGGGCCGGTGTGCTTCACTTGTCGTCACGTGTGTTCACATTCCCAGCCGCCTCACTCGTGGTCATACCATCGGCTCTCAATTAATCTCTGTCCGTGTGTGTGTGTTTATTTTGTCACATGGGGGAGCGGTAGTGCAGCAGTTATCACGCTGCGCTACAAACCCGGCCACCCAAGTTCGATCCCCGCTCACGGCCAACACCAGTGACGATTATCTGAACCCGGTGCTGGGCCTCCTCCCCTAGGTCAACTCAGCCTCAAATGAGTACCTGGTGCGGTGTGTAAACATCGCCACTCGGGAGGCAAAGGCGGCCGGGCGTGGTGCTGGCCACCCACCCCCTCGTGTACCGTTCCGGCCTTCATAGGTGTGTTTGCTAACAGCACTTGCCCCAACAGCCTGTTATGCCTATACGGGGGATCTTTGTCTTTGTTTGTCACAGGCGCACCTGCTCAGGTGTGACAGGGCAGTACAACGGCTCTAGCTCACCCCCTGCTGACTGTAGCGGTACTGCACTAAAGACTTACACATTATACATTGATCGCTTAGCACCAGGCATGTAATGGTAACAATACATTGATTCATCTAGAAATGTGTTTAAGAGAAAAAATATTTTCATTACTATAGGGATAAATGTATGAAAGCGTGAGCGACAATCCAATGGAGCGAACACAACGACACAAACGAGACGTACAAATGGGAATAAATTATTCGGCGAAGATGAGACGCAAAATAATTGGTTGTTGAACTGAAATTGCAACTGGAATTGTGGCAATTCGTGGACTCTTTGGGGCTGAATTGTTGGTATTGTTGACAGGCATGGCATCTTGACTCAGTTTAGCACGACAACATTTAGACTCAGCAAGAGATCACAAACAGCGAAACCATTTCTAAAATTAAATGACCATTTACGTTATGGCGGAATGGTTCGAAGTGCAATATGGACCCGGCTTCCAGAGTTCGATTCACCGGTTATGGCTAACATCAGTGGCGAGGGATACCCGAAGCAGTCCTGGACCTTCTGCTTGGACGAACTTGTAGTATGGTAAAACACCCCTTTTTCTTCATGGGGAGGCCTTGATCCAGCAGTGGATTGACAAGACGCCTGTACATTGTTGTCATGTTAAAAACACACATGTGGTACTGAAATACAATTGGCTTGCTTGCACAATGTCATGGGAGTCTTTTATTTAATTAATTATATTCACATACAAAGATCTGTCTTGTTAGCATGGTATAAGTTAATACTTGTCAAAGTGCATACTACCGAGTTACATAGGGGCAGCCCTGCAATTGCTTGCTCATGCCACTGCTAGTGAAATGACTTCCACTAAAGACAGCCGCTGAAGATGGCATTTGGACTACACTTCCATGTTGGCCAGACAACTTGGGAGGCGGTGGAGGAACCCGCGCCTTACCCCCACCACGCGTGACCGACTGATCAGCCCCTTGACACTGTTGGGTGGACAGAGGCGAGCGGGGGGGGGATTTAAGAATCTTGCACCGTGGTTTGAACCACCATGTCAGGTGATCAAAGTGAACCGCCGACTGGAGTGTAAGTTGAGCATTGCTCTCCGTTACACCGTGGCAGCATCCCCCAAGTTCCAAAATCCCCGCGCCCCAATAAAATACGACAAGATGTACATGTATGTAGAATTTTTTTCGCACCATAGGTAGCCAACCGTGCTAATCGGATATATTCCGTAGTATTCCTTCTCCAATCAATTACCATGAATAAACGATCACATTTTGATCGGGCTTGTTATGTTATATTTTGTCCGGTTATGATTACGTATTTACAACATTCATGTAGTTAGTGCATAAAAGCAGGGCAAAATGTATCCAACCACGAGAGTGGTTATATTTCGATAATATTCCTTCACCAGTTAACTTATATTTGCATCCCACCACCACGCCTCCCAAAAAAATGTACTTGAATTCAAAGAATATGTTAATGATTGGGCAAGTAAGAAGACTAGTCCACCAAGTACATGCTTGTACAATTGTATACACTTAATGAATAATAATAATAATCAATTTTCCTTCTGAGAAAAATATACATTCAAATTACTACAAATTAGTCGGTTTAGATTTGTTGAAAATACTTATTTTAAATCGCAAACATCACTGGCATGTGGAGAAAATGTATCACCGTAAAACACCCCCGCTGATCGAAATGTATTCTAACCCTGCGACGAGAGATGTGATGCTAAACTGCCGTGAATTTAAAAGCCAGTTACAGCATCTAGTATATATACAATTAATTCGGTACAGACAAAATGACAACACAATTTCCTACCGTGATCCCGGTTATCAACGTTGTTGGGGACATGTGTGTGGAATTTCAAGCTGACGAAAAACCGAAAATAAAATCCACACGTAGAAACAGACGGATTCAACGGAGATTTTCTGGTTCAGGTGTGGCAGGTTGGTTGAGTTCAAGTGACGGCTGACATTTTTAGGCAAGGTCCATTCCTGGCACCGCCACTGAAATTGCCATTTCATTTGCAGCTGTAACGCATATATTTCTGTTTCTATTTAAGATCAAATTCACCACATCCTCGGTAACTTAAGGCACGCTAAGGTCCACTCCCCCATGGCTCTGCAGACATTCGTACGTTGATCCATAACAGAGGTTTTTTTTGGGGTTCGATCGCGTAAATATATAAATGTGTCGTTAAACCCGCCACCACCCGACACAGCCAATTAGTAAGGTTTGTCACGTAAACAGAACGTGCCAACTCATTACAAATACAGCACACCGGTGTGTTGGAGATCAAGGCCACAACATTTACAATCTGAGTACGACGTTCCGCCAGTAATTACAACTAGCTTCATCAGGCGACAGACAGATATGTGGAGAAATCCTGTTTCGTTCCTTAAATAGAGAGGTAGATGTGATGACATCACTTTGGAGCCATGCTTGAGTGATGTGGGGGGGAGGGGGTTTAACGACACATTTATATATTTACGCGATCTAACCCAAAAAAAACCTGTATTATGGATGATATTGGTCGCGAAAGCCTACGTGTTAAACTCGTACATTTATGTTTCAGCGCCTACTGATTTCCAAAGCAGTTGTCAATGACGTTTGTGAAATGCTTGTGGTAATTGCGAGTGCGAATTTGATGCACACCACGTCAATAAATAATTTGCCCTTGCAAGTAACACAAGAAATATCAGCAAAATTGTTTTGCCCCGCACATCTGCATCCTCCAACCAATGGTATAGTTACACCCCCCTCAAAGAAGGAACACAACACCGTTATTGCCGTTACACTCACGCACGCCTTGACCGATGTTCAATTACAATCAAACGATCTTCAGCACGGCATTTGGTGCCATCTGTCCAGCGTGGCTGTGTACACGGGAAGGCTTCCAAGTACAAAAGGCATCATTCTCGTTCGACCATAACTGCTGTTTTCTCCAGATTATAATGATGCACAATTTTCCCCGTGTATGTTAAAGCAACAGTTGGGGGTATGTGTCTTGCAATCCGGAAAATGTTTTTATTACATTGTTGAGAATCATCTTAGAGAAGATAATTCTTCCACAAGACGATTATCCAAAGCAATACATTACAGTTCAGTAGACCGAAGACCATCACCAGCCATTCTGTATGATATTCTAGAAGACACGGCTCCCCATTTTAAAGGACCACGTTCGTAATGGTCATGCGGAAGACGTACCGCATTCTCCCGGTAATAAAAAAGCACTTCACTGTGTTTTCAAAATGACACGGAGAGTTGTGGCGCATCCTACTTACCCGGAAAATACGGGATGTGTTCTCGAGTTCAAAATTGCCAGCTTGTCAAAGTGAGAACGTGTCTGTCCCCACTCTCCAGGTCAGGTTACCCCGTCAAAATAAAACAAAATGCATTTTGGGAAGAGGGATTTTTGTTTCGGTTTTTTGTGTGCAGATTTTTGATGCATCGTTTTGCTTTTCAAGTTATAAGCAGAATGTACGTTGAACTTCTTTCGCACCATGCGTAGCCAACCATGCCAAACGGCAAAACACATGTAAACACATTAATAGCATGATAACCAAATAATACGATGGTAAAGTTCAAACTGAAATTTCACAATTAGTAATTTCACACGTAATATTTAACAAAGGAACAGCTGCTAAATTGGTATGGTTCCACCAGTAAATATATAATTAATTATTACAAATCAAGAACAATTCTTGCACAACGCATACGTGTGGGAGACTCGTTTATTGTGTGTTTAATAATCGCAATAATAAATGTCCTGAAACCGGTAAGATCCATAGAGAGTCTCCAGACTCTTTTTTTCAAGATGGCTCCATATTGGGTCGTTTGACCAATTCAATTCCTATTGAATTGATTTTCACACCTGATGATGATTGCTTGTGTTGCAGTCGAAACGTCGTGAGAATTTAATTGTTTTATATTTTTATTATTTTATTGTTTCCCTTCTACGTGGTGACTTTACCGAAAGAACCAAGAATATGAATCCCTGCAGTCACGAAAGCTTTACATCAAAATTCAATTCAATTTCATTGCAGATCTGCCACCCTCCACCCACGCTTGGCTGCTTCCCACGACAAAAGCGGCATTACCACCACACTGCGAGGCCACAACACTTCCATAGCTGTCAACCCATACGGTTTACCCCGTATTCTTGTACAGGGAGATTGAGTTTTCAGGCCCATACGGCGTACAGCCGTTTCAACACGGGCAAAAATAGTTTTCGTCTATTTGTTTGTGTTTCTCCCTTGTGATGGGATTTTGTAGGATGAACGTTGAGATGTATAACGGTACGGGGTGACCAATACGGTCTGAATTGGTCTGTAATAATGTAGGGCACTGATAAGGGATTGACCGGTAATGCCCTTCTCTCACGGATTTGTTCCCCGCGCTACTCGACTTTGAGCTGCCCTCCCATTGTCTCCTTTGAAAAGTTCTTACAACCTTGAGATCAATTTAAATAAACATTAACTTTTTATCTATTAAACCTTCAGCAGTGCTGTTTGTTGCTGGTTGTCCAGCATTTTGGCATTGGTGGAGTTTGGGGGGGGGGGGCACATGGTGGTGGAGGGGGGGGCAATGCCCTGCCCAAAACTGGACACCTTTATGAATTTATTTTCAGTAGTTTAAAATTAAGATAAAAAAATAAATTAATTGTATGCACCCGTGATTCCTAACGTGAGGGACAAAGCGAACCCCTGCGCCCCCCCCACCCCACCAAATATAGCGACCAAACTCCACCTGTGCATTTTGGGCATTTTGGGCATGTGCCCAGCAAACCACGATGACAATAAGCAGAGAGAGAGAGATAATGGCTCCTGGACCATGCTGCCGGTGTTACCGACCAATCACGGTGGCCATTACATCAATCGCTCTGGGAAATGGCGAGCGCGGGCCCCTTGGGGTCGTCAAAGCGGTCGAGCGTGGTGATGGCGAGGATCTTCTGCACGCCGTAGGTGAGGATGAGGACGAGCACCGTGCTGGACACGAGGAACATCCAGATGGCCGGCGTGAAGAAGCTCGCGCAGTCGCTGGCGTAAGAGAAGCTCGAGTTGCCCACGTTGAAGCCTTGGATCTGGGCGAGGGGGGCGAGGGGAGCGAGAGGTGGGGGAGGTGGGGGGGGCACACGGAGGATTTCACAATTAGGGGATCACATCAACTGCGTAGACCATTAGCGTAACGAGCGTGGGGGGGCAGGGGGTGCCTTGCCCCTTCCCCCGTGGGCAAAGCTACGAGTTGGGGCCCCCCCTTCGACATGCACCATGAGATATGTTGTCAACAACAAGTGTCATAGAACAAAGCCTTATTTGAAATGGAGCGCTCCTACAGCGTGAGCACAACGATGTGATTAAGCAAGAGGAACAGCGATATATATAAATCCTAGGTGCGACCGTGCGAGACAAATGAAATATCGGGGCCCAACCTGACTGGTTGCCGCATCCCCTGAGCTGACAGTGTCGTTACGTCACTGGCGTCCGGAAGGAAGCGATGGGAGAGGGGGTTCACGATGATCAATACTCGCGTCGAATTGTTCTGACTACATGCTTGGGCGGAGGGGTTGGACTTTGTGAGATAGACGTGGCAAGAATCACGGGCAGGGACACAGAGGCAGACACAGAAATACAGAGACAGAGAGAGACAGAGAGAGACAAAGCCAGGGAGACAACACGAGACCGACGCAGGGAGATAACGGGCACCCCTCTTCACCAGCCCGCACCAAAGCAGGGTGCTGAAGCATCGTCAAGCAACGGCCCATGACCACACAGCATGGGGAGGCCTTCATCCAATAGTGGATTGACAAAGGGCGGTGATCACGATATAGTCTTCTCCGATACCAAGGTTCTATGTAAACCCACGGGTTTCTATCAGAGATTTGTTCACGAGGCCATTCAGATTTACAAACACAGACACAATTTCAACCGAGAAGATGGCTTCAAATTAAGCAACCATTGGAAAGATGTTCTAAATCGAACCAAACGTTAAAGGAATTTTTAATGGTACAGTATGTTCATTCAATTAGTGGCATCCCAAACTCTCACGGTGGTGCTAATGTATTTTTGATGCTATTTGCGAGCTTGCACAGCTTTACATTATTATGCTAATTCCTTTGTCTAGGCGTTTTTTTCTGTTTACCCACTCACAGCTTAAAGGAGGCGACCTGCGCTTGACTTTCTTCACTCCAATGCTGTCCTCTGGACAGGTTGGTCCCTTCACCTGATGAAGGCCACTTGTGTTGTGGCCGAAACGTCGTGATTTTTGTTTATTTTTTACCTACGCGACTTTACCGAATAGAACCAAAGAGTATGGATCCTTGCAGTCACGAAAGCTTCAAATCTAGAATCGGTAACATTCGTCGATACTACTTTATTAATTGCGCAGATTATAATAAGTTCTGCAGCGATTGGGCGCGGCAATGCTTATACATTACCTTACTGAGAGAGATATGAATATAAAGCGCCCTTACCGTGCTACCGGGTCAGGGAGGACGGTGTCAGCCGGCACTAAACGTCGCTGGCACCGCCGCTACGCCGGCCCTCACCTGGAAATCCTGGAAGGTGACGGTCCACATGGAGGCCAGTGGGTTCGCGGCGTACAGGTAGCCTCCGTAGTAGGAGGACGAGCTGAGGAACTGGCAGTGGTAGGAGAAAGCCTCGAGCGACGAGATGTACGTGGTGTTGAAGACGGCCGTTTGGTTGACCGCGTACTCCACCTCGAAGGATGTTACGGAAAACCAGTTCTTCTTTGTCACTTGGTAGTACTGGTTTGTCATGTAGAACCTGCAAAAGCAATTGTGTGTGTGTTTTTTAAAAGTATAACATGTATTGTGATATTGTATCCCCGCACCTCCGATTAGCAGGGTCGGCTACGTACGGTGCGAAAGAGGTTCACCATACGTTGCTATCCGACTCTTGCGTATGTGCAAAATTTTCGGGAGAAGAATTCCAATGCCGAGGTCTGCTAGCCACGACGAGACTGGCGTCAGGAGAGATATCGTGTTGGGCAATACTTTTTTTTACAGAATTTTTGAAGAATGTAATTAAATTATATAATCGTATCCATTCTCTATACACTATTGGTTGATGGCTTTTATTGCTTCTTGTAGTTTTGTGCATCTTCAACACAATTGTATGTCTACACATGCAAAAGCAGCATCGCTCCTAACCACCTTTATATGAAACACATCAGAACCGACAGCATGAAAGACATATTTGCATGTAATTTTTTTTTGCTATAAATTTTGTTCATTTTTGCAAATGTTTCATACGTTTGCAATTTTCCTTTCTAAAACGTATTTTTAAAAAAATCACGAAACATTTTTTCATCAAATACATTGGAAAGTTATTGTAGGATTATTATGACTACAACAAATATTTTCACCCTGCTGTAAGCAAATGTTTATATGCTTTAAAGAAACCTTGGGCACTTACCGCAACTTCAAGTAAGGAAATGTTGATACGTTGTTATACGTTAAGGAGAGACTGTAACAAAATTCATAAAATATGGTCAAGCACAATGTATGTACGTATGCTCATTTATATGACATTCATTTGCAGCCCTCTGAAGACCTCCAAATGCCATGGCAGTTGCATAACCATACTTCACCACACTCATCATTGAGGGTTGGTGAAGGGGAGTGCTCAGGACGGATTCAGACGTCACCCGCCGCTGATGTCAGCTGTGACCGGGTGCAGTAGTTGGAGACACTGGGGTGGACCAGTGGCTCAGTGGATAGGGCAATGCACTACGAACACGGTGACCTTGAGTTTGAGTCTTGGCCAACGCGAACATCACTCGCAAGCAACGCTTGAAACGGTCCTGGACATCACTCCACCAAACCAACACCAACCAGCTTGGTGAAGTATGGTCATACAACCCTTCATAAATGACGTCACGCGATTTTTGACGATTTTTGACCCCCCCCCTCGTCACATGGCGTCACAAAAAGTGAGACCCACCCTCAAATATGACGTCACTAAGCTCTGCCCCCCACAAAAAAAACATGTTTCAAATCGCTTTAAACTATTGTCATTGTAGCGTGTATTTAATGTGGCGCTGCACTCTGATGTTGTAGGAGAGAACATTTATCAAAAAGTCTATTTAATTAAGTAGAACGTGTTGTCTGTATTTATTTAAAGTTGCGCATTTCTATGTGACGTCACATTTCTCAAACCCCTCCCCCCCTCGTCACACATCGTCACAAATGTCTGACCCCCCCCCCTCCCCCCAGGTGCGTGACGTCATTTATGGACGGCCCGTATGACCGATATGACATGGGGAGGCCTCTCATCCAGCAGTGGATGGGCATAGGACTGTAAATTATGGTTGCTTAATAGATCAATTATAAACGTATAAAAAAACTCGAAAACAAATCTAATTCAGTTTTACTGTTTGCAATACAAATGCATGGACGTTCGCAGAATTGTGCGATCTACGCTTCGCAGGAGCACAGACGATGGATCGATCAAGATGCCCATTTCACGACAAAGGGTCAAAGCGCCAAAGGGAGAAAAAAAAAACCTTCTTTCGCGAAAAAAGTCTCAAACACAACCAACGTACGTGGCGTTCTCGCTGCTGCATTGGGAGTCACTGAGGTTAACGGTCCTGTTGTTGAAAGTCAAGTCCGCCAGCTCGACATGAACCGCTTTTCCACCAACCGCTTCAGTATACACCAGGGTGATGTTGGACGCCCAGAAGAGAATGCAGCTCCCGTTGTTGCTGCTGTACGCCAGGGGCTTGTAGATGCCCTGCGTGACCGTGGAATCGACCGCCAGGAGCTTACGTCCCCTCGACACGTCGGAGGGGTTACCCAGAGACGCTGAGCTGCCAGCCACCTGTACGAGCAGCGAACCAGCGAAGGCAGAGACGTGAGCTGGCACGCTGCCTAATGGTCACTTCTTTGTGCGTATGATTTTAAATAAAACCAAATACACAGTGCAGTACAACGTCGCATATCCGACCATCACGTATGGCCCCCCTCGCCGCCACCGCCCCGGGTAATTAGCCGCTCACACCCAGCGCAGAGCCTGCAACATCACGTGCATCCCTCTATTTAAGACTGACACAGGAGAAGGATGTCTCCACAACTCTGGCTGTGGCCTGATGAGGCTGGTTGTAATTACCGGCTAAACGTCTTACTCGAATTTTAAATGTTGTGGGCTTAACTCTCCAACACAACGGTGTGTGCTGAACTAGACACGAATTGGCATGTTGTGTTTACGTAACAAACCTTACTAATTGTCTGTGTCGGGTGGTGGTGGGTTTAACGACACATTTATATTCATGCAATCTAACACCAAAAACCTTTATTATGGAGAGGTTCACTTATCTGACCTCTTTATTGAACTGCCCACACCTCATTTATCAGATAATTGACATTGTACTGTGTGTATGTTGAACTTCTTTCGCACCGTACGTAGCCAATGGAGGTGCTAGGGGGTGGGGAAGGACAACAAACTAAACATAAAAAGTAGCTCTAAATAAATGTGCATGAGTGTTATGCTGCAACGAGCAGAGGTGGGTACAAGAAAGGAATGTGGTGCTTTACCCTGGAAGGCCTCAGCGCAGTGTAAATTGCTGTGAAATTGATTCCACTGGACTTCAGGGTAGCCAGCGTATTTCCAATGATCTCGTCTGAAGAGAAAACAGTAACATAACCATCGTAAACCACGTGGCAATAACATTAAAAACACATGCATCCAGTAAACACACGTTATCACTGTAATATAAACTACTTTGCCGATTATTATTATTAGTATGTTGGTATATATAGGTATAGGTTCACATAGTTAGGTAAAACAATCATATCACAGTAGTTTATCGAAAGCTTCTAGTGCATTGTTAAGTCTGGTAACATATGCATCGGTAAAATAAAAACCGCGTACCATTTTCAGCGATAGCCGCTCGTCGCAACGATGCAGAATCACTGCGGGATGGGAAAAACAAAGTTATTTTATTCCTGCAAGCCGCATTATCACAAAACTGACACACAACGTTGGCCACTATAAAAATAAATAAATATGATTAACTTTTCATTTTAACACGTAGGCTTTCGCGACCAATATTATTCATAATAAAGGTTTTTGGGTTAGATCGCAAAAGTATAAATGCGTCGTAACCCTCCACCACCCGACACAGCCAATTAGTAAGGGATTTGTCACGTAAACAAAACGCCAATTATTTTACTACTTCGTACTCAAATTGTAAATGTTGTAAATTTACTCTCCAACACACCGGTGGGCTGAAGTAGTAACTAATTGTCGTTTTTTTTCGTGACAAATACCTTACTAATTGGCTGTGTCGGGCGATTCACTTTTATTTTTCGAATCTCTGAGGTCATTCGGGAGGGTCGTTTTTTTTGGGGGGTGGGGAGGGGGGGGGACAGATATTCAACGTCGCAAATTTACGTACCCGGCGGTGGCTGGCAGGCGGTAGACAACCAGATTGGGCTGGTGTGGGTCAAGGTTGCTGGGCACTTCAGAGCGCCCCGGACCCTCGTCCAACTCTCGCCTATCTGGACCCAGCTGCTCTCGAGCAAACTCGACCACGGCACCTGCCGCCTTCCAGTCCACGGCCGGCAGGAACAGCTTGGAGGCAGCCCGAGCGAAGAGGGCCTGGGTGGGAACATCAACAAACAAAAAAACCACGTGGCAGCACGGGGAAGGTTCAGGGGGCATCGGGCTTGCGTTTCATTCACGAGCGAAGAAGACGAATAATCATATCGTTTAATCAGCGCTGCGTAGGGTTTCCCGGTTGTGCCGTACTGCTCTCCGATGTGTTTTCGGGCTGTACCGCGTGTTGTCTGGCACGATGTCCGACGTTTCACTGGACGCGCTCAACGCTTATTTCAGGGATGCGGCGCAACTCTAAAAGCAGTTTTAAAATCGGTTTCTAAAATCGGTTTTCGGGGCACCGTCTCGACACTTTGACCTTGTACATGGGCAGGCGGCCGTCTGCGCACGGGCTCCTCCTCGTACTACGCAGAATAATGGAGACAATCTTGGAATACCGTACATCAAATTTAAAAAAATATATTGTAAATCAGCCATCCATCAGTAGGTGTCGCTCGCTAACAATCGGTCTTGGGCGTTATCCCCCAGGTATGGTGGTGGCGCCTCTCGTAAAAACAAAAAGGAAGATAAGAATGATTTTTTTTGGCTTCTGTATTTGGTGCATTCGAGTTGTGTGTTTTGAGCAGTATGACAAAATAAATTAAGTATTATACCAAATGTTGATTTAAAGCTTTCGTGACTGCAGGGATTCATATTCTTGGTTCTTTCGGTAAAGTCACGTAGAAGGGAAACAATAAAATAATAAAAATATAAAACAATAAAATTCTCACGTTTCGACTGCAACACAAGCAATCATCATCAGGTGTGAAAACCACAACAATGATGATGATTGCTTGTGTTGCAGTCGAAACGTCGTGAGAATTTTATTGTTTTATATTTTTATTATTTTATTGTTTCCCTTCTATGTGACTTTACCGAAAGAACCAAGAATTTCGATTTAAAGCTTTCGTGACTGCAAGGATTCATCTTCTTTGGTTCTTTCGGTAAAGTAACGTAGAATGAGAATAAAATAATAAAATTCTCAAGACGTTTCGGTCACAACACAAGTGGCCTTCTTCAGGTGAAAGGAACAGACCTGACGGGACGACAGAGCTACAATGAACGCTGCTAAGATTCGCAGCGTCTTTTAAGCTGGTTGAGAGAAGTGAGGCACCTTGACAAAGGGGTTTACATATCAAACAGGAGAATTTAGCATTGAAACAGTTGAGGGATTAGCTTGTGACTGTTTTACAGAAATAGCTATGTTAAAGTCAAAGCCTGCACATCCACAGAGGCACCTCGTACATGGACGCCAAAGGGGCTGCAACAACTCAACTATCATACAGTAAACCGATGTGAAAAAAAACCTAAGAAGAAGAACCAAGAATATTTCTTTCATCTGTGTGAAGCTCCGGGATTTTAAAAACCCATCAATTCTGCAAGCAGACATGATTGTTATATTTAGCTATCCTTTCATAGTCATTATTATTACTGAAGTGCTATTAGTGTATTACAAATGGTGTGTTACCAAAATCACAATTGTGATTGGAATAACAACGCAGTATTGTCAGACGACCAACACTGAAACCAGTATCAAATATATTACCCACGTGTTAACAAACACAGCATGCGAAATTATTAACTAACCTTGACATTTTTAAAGACACCCGTGTGTTTATCGCCATCGTGTACCGCTCCGTACTTTGTGAAGTCGTCAACGCTGAGCTGAAACACACACAAAGACAACAGAGGATACACGTGCACATGCAGTGCAGTGGGAGCGTGTTAGCGAGAGATAGGATACGGTGCGAAGGAATGTCAAGGTACATAGACTACTGTCACACAATTGCCACCAACATATGTTCACACCAACATGACGTGAGAACACTCCAACATTAATGACGATCGTGTGCATTTGGTCACACCGCTGTAAAATCTAAATACACCCCCAAAAAAACGACATTTGTCTTGCTTTCGAATCCTATTTTTCCTTTGCAAATATTTTTAATACCCCCCTCCCCCAATAGTGTATAAGTACGTGACGTATATCAATGGGGTGGCTATTTTTTATTCGGAACCTGCCTCGTGCCATGATGTAATACCACCTTCAAGATATTTTTGTAAAAACTATGTATTTTAGCAAGGTGCATCTGCCCCAACACACAAGAGCTTTAAAGCATACGTATTTTTAGGACCGTCTTCAGCTGAGGTGGGTCGGGTGGGCCGGGTGGGTCGGGTGGGCCGGGTGGGCCCGGTGGGCCAGGTGGGCCGAATGGGTCGGGTAGGCCCGGTCGGTTGGGTGGGCCGGGTGGGCCGAATGGGTCGGGTAGGCCCGGTCGGTTGGGTGGGCCGGGTGGGCCGAATGGGTCGGGTAGGCCCGGTCGGTTGGGTGGGGCCGGTGGGTCGGGTGGGCCGGGTGGATTGGGTGGGGCCGGTGGGTCGGGTGGGCTGGGTGGACCGGGTGGGTCGGGTAGGCCGGGTGGGTCGGGTGGGCCGGGTGGGCCGGGTGGGTTGGATGGGTCGGGTGAGGCCAGTGGGTCGGGTGGGCCGGGTGGACCGGGTGGGCCCGGTGGATCGGGTAGGCCGGGTGGGCCCGGTGGATCAGGTGGGCTGGGTGGGCCGGGTGGGTCGGGTCGGCCGGGTGGGTCGGGTGGGTCGGGTGGGGCCGGTGGGTCGGGTGGGCCGGGTGGGTCGGGTCGGTTGGGTGGGTCGGGTGGGCCCGGTGGGTCGGGTGGGCCCGGTGGGTCAGCTGGGTCGGTTGGGTCCAGTGGGCCGGGTGGGTTGGGTGGGTCGGGTGGGTTGGGTGGGTCCGGTGGGCCGTATAGCCTAGGTGGATCGTGCACCACCAAATGTCATTTTAACCCAACTCCAAGTTCACTCAGCTAAGTGGTGAATCGCTAATACGGTGCCCCCCCCCCCCCCCATAACCACAGCTCTACTGAGCCCGGTCCCCCACCATGTAGCTGGAGCCAGGCCTGCCGAATTGTTGTTCTAACGTTCTAACTCCGTGCCCCTACTGGAAATGCGTGAAAAGGAGCTTTATACCTCCTCGTATTCCGCCCGTGCAAATAGATATTCTGATTGTGATTATGTATACTCACAACAATACTTTTTACAAATATTATTCTGTGGACAAAGGCCTCTAACCTTATCAGCCGTAAAATCCATCCCCCCTACACGTTGATGTTTATTGCCCGCGAGTTTACGGCCCACTGGGCCTATTGTTGAGACATTTGACAGCCGGGCATCAGCGGTTTCCCCACGAGCATTGCGGTTAAGGAATAGGTGACGACGGTAAAATTATGACTCCAACTCAACGTTGGAAGCGTTCGCGTAGCAGTATGAAATCATGCAGCAACAACAACAAAAAACACGCAAAACTTTGTTGAGAACCCGACATGGCCACGTGGACTTTTCCTCAAACAGTTCTATACAAGGGAGATGAGCATCACCGCATGGTGTGATTGATTTGGGGGGGGACCACTGCAGTTGAATGTGAACGTTCAAAACGGCCGATCACCTTGTCCTGCATGAAGATGACGAGGGAGGAGCCGGGCTGGACGGCGTGGGACAGGTACACGGACAACTCGGACGCCTCCACCACATGGCCCGCGCTGGGTGGCTGGTGCCCTCCCCAGTCCAGCCTGCAACACGGTGGTGGTGGTGGTGGAGCAGGAGAAGATACCAATGGCTAAGCAGCAGTGGAGGAGGATGAGAGCAAGGTGGTCGTGGTCGTACATGAGTCGTCAAAGCTTTACCTGATAACAGGGTGTGAGTAAGGGATGGATGTCGTGGTGGGTGTCCAGATACCCCCACCCCCAAAAACGTTTAGATGTAACCCGCAACATTTTTTGACAGAAATTCGTGGACTTTTTGAGTCTGCCTTTTTGTGTCTCTCAACAGGGTGAACAAACGTGCTGATTATGCTGATGACTGAAGCCTTAAATACACTGGAGGGCACCAACAGTAGACTCAATGTGCCAATAGTTGCATAGATTTAATACGCAGTAGAGTATCGATTTAAAGCTTTCGTGACTGCAAGGATTCATCTTCTTTGGTTCCTTCGGTAAAGTCACGTAAAATGAGAATAAGATAATAAAATTATAAAATAAAATAGCACAATAAATTCTCATTATTTTATTCTCATTCTACGTGACTTTACCGAACGAACCAAAGAAGACACAGTAGAGTAATTATTGTGATGTAGAGCTCGGCTTATCCGTGAAGCAGTAGGGGGGTCGAATCTCCACAGATCCCTTCAATAATCTGATGAATAACCATCGCGAATAAGTCGTTCGTCGGACACCTCCAACTTCCACAGCGTCGTTGTGTCCCTGACATTATCCCACCGAGACCAAACCACTCGGTTTCAAACTCGAGTGCACTTGAGGTTGGCCTGATTCCTCACGGTGCAGCTTGAGTTGGTAAAAATAAGAAAAACAAGAGTGGTACTGTATTTCCATTCTCACGAGTCGGGCATGTCATCGATATTTCCACATGGTAGAAATTCAGATTTTTTAATTCTGATTTCCTTTCACAAACAAAGCACTGATAAAACACATATATACACGTTCGGCCAAACATCCCTCCCCGAAAAATAATCGTGAGACTTGGTGAATGATTATTTGTTATATAAATAAGTTACAAATACTTTTGTCTAGAGGTGCAAAAGCCCGGGCGTCCGATTGCATAAACACCTCGAGTGGACGTTTCATTCACGGCACTGTACAGTCGTGTGCCGTGGCCGGTGGCCAATCGGTTCGTGAACTGCACTATGAACTCGCCCAACTCAGTTCGATTCCTAGCCATGGCTAACGTCAGTCATCATGGTAATCACGATCATCATCATCATCATCACGATCCATGGGCAGATAGCCCGCAGGCGTCCACTGCACATTTCGCCGTTTCCACTTTCCTCTCTGTCTTGTGCCACAAAGCAGTGTCACGTCTTTCTAACATCAGTGGCGAGTGATGATAACTGAACCAGTGCTAGGCGCCTTCCGCTCCTCTTTATAAATCCACGTTGACCGGCGTGGTGAAGTTCACTCTAAAAGGCCCCGAACTGCAAGATGGCTCTGGGAAGCCATCATCTATCAGTGGATTGATTTATATTGAAAAAAAAAAGGATCTGAACCTTTCTTCAACGTTGTCCAGTAGTTGTTTAAAGCAGAATACATTTAAGGGTGGACAAACACACACACACACACGCGTGTAATGTGTTTAATGCTAATAGGGTACACCATATCTTTAGAGTGCTCATTGGTGCGTGGAGGTCGGCGGGGTCACGATGTGTTCTAACCAAGACGGACGCTTAAGCATTGGCGTCTGTTGCTCTATAAGCAGTGGGGCTTGGCTTATCTCTCGACTCGATCGGCACTTCCACACGCCACAAGCGGCACGGGCTGCCCTCCTCCAGAGCTCACGGCAGAACCAGACAGACTGGCTGGACCCCCCCGTCCCCAACCCCTCTTGCAAACAATCCGCATACTCAAGGTCGCGGCGCCTGCCGCTCGCAGCAGTATAAACGGGCATGCCAGTTGATCGTCGTACTACTTACCGTACGACGCATACGTGTGCGATGCTGCCCGTTGTTTAACGGGTTCGCCGTCTCGGTTCGATCTCCGGGTGCGGCAGTTGAATCAGTGGTGCGTTGTTTATTAAAATATCCCCCCCCCCCCCGCCAATAAAAAACCTCTGTTCCCCGCAGCATTATGATGTGGGCACACCGTGCCGAGTCGAGCGGAAGGTCACGACGTTGTTGTTGGTTGGGTAAAATGTGGACATTCCCAAAAGGGATTGCCATCCTCGCCGGGTCGGACGTGAATAGTTGGGGTGAATTGGCATGGTCTGGTTTGGGTGTCGGGAATTGATTGATAAGGAGACGTGGGGAGTTTGTGTTCTCTTCCCTGGTGGCGTTTGACCCGCTCAAACACACGCTGCTGGCAAATATTCATCTGCGTGGCTCTCGAAAAGGTGGATGAAATGGTGTCGTTGTTGTTGTTGATTTGTTGCAGAGAATGAACAAACCCCTTTCCTTTTCGTTACAAATAATCGACTTGTTGACGTACGCGTGGTCCATCGGTCGGATGATCTACAATTCGAATGCTTTAACGGGATAGACGAAAAGCCCGGACGAGATATCCCTCACGTGTCGCTAGCGCCTGAGGTGGCATTAACTTTCATGGTTACAATTTCTATATATGGCCAGTAACCACGAATTGTGTCGTAACCATTTGGGTTGTATAATTCACTCTCATTCACCATTTAAGAACACACACCTGTCAACCCCTTATCAGTGCCCTACCTTATTACAGACCAATTCAGACCTTATTGGTCACCCCGTGCCCCTATAAATCTCAACGTTCATCCTACAAAGTCCCATCACAAAGGAGAAACACAAACAAATAGACACAAACATTGTTTTGCCCGTATTGAAACGGCTATACGCCGTATGGACCTGAAAATTAAATTTCCCTTTACAAGAATACGGGGTAAACCGCATGGGTTGACAGATATTTGACGACTAAAGTTTAAATCTTAATTGAAAACTATTTTTTTGAAGTTTTTGTGCGCGTGTTGACTTTGTTGTCCTTCCCCACACCTCCGATTAGCACGGTTGGTTAAGTACAGTGGGAAAGAGGTTCAACATACTTACATACAAGGTATGCTATATTGTGTTGTACAAATGTCTGCCCTAGTACAATGGATCAGGGTGAGGGACGCACGGAAAGTATCCAGGTGAGAGACTCAATGGGGTAACCAGGTGAGTGGCCATTAAGATAGGTCGCTCACTTCGCGTGCGAGAACTGAGGTGAAAGGAGTCGATGAAGCAACTTTGTGTCGTACACAAGTTATTTGGTGATACAGTACTGCGTAGGCAATTGATGCACAATTTAAACCGAGAAGATGGATTCTGGCTTAGCAATCATTGGAAGGATTTGATAAACCATTTCGGGTCTTAATTAATTGATCACGCTTAAGGTGGCTTTCAGACCGCATCCATTATTTTTCGTCTCCCCCCTCCTCTTTTCTGAACATAGATAGACTCGTCCATCTGAACAAACTGTCAAATCGCTCTCCGTGGTGCTAACGTTAAAAATAACCGCCACTTTTTTTCTAATTTTCTTGTTGTGGTTTTCACACCTGATGATGATTGCTTGTGTTGCAGTCGAAACGTCGTGAGAATTTTATTGTTTTATATTTTAATTATTTTATTGTTTCCCTTCTACGTGACTTTACCGAAAGAACCATGAATATAATTGATGCACTGTCAAAAAATATATAACAAAGCAATTCACACGTTCGTCAATAACAGTACGGTATGGCGACAAAAGCCCACGCTGATCAATCTGAAGCTCAATGATGTAGACACAACGCCAGTCAAGGAGGCCTGGCTAGGACCAATGCATCGTGACACCTGGAGAAACATTTGAAAATGGACTTTGATGGCTTTGGTGACGAATACTACGAAAACGAAAAATCGTACAAAGGATGATGTTATATTTATTTTTTGAAATGGTATGTCATCTTGAAAGTATATATCACGTATTTGTATCTTCATTCGTTTTCTTTTAAGGCAGTGTTTGGACGGACATGGTGAGTGTTGTGTTGCACACAGACACGATTAGAGTTTACATTTAAAACAAAACAAATCAGTCTTTTTTAAGTATTTGTGTTTTGTATGCCCCGAAGATTGTGCGCGTTTGACATTTCAAACACAGTTGGATATTTTTCTTTTATTACGTCCCACAAATAAAATGCTTTTAAAATGAAATTGTTCTTCAAGAGAGGAGCAAGGTACCTTGGCCTATCATACAGCAGCAATTCTAGATTTGAAGCTTTCGTGACTGCAAGGATCCATACTCTTTGGTTCTATTCGGTAAAGTCACGTAGGTAAAAAATACAAAAAAATCACGACGTTTCGGCCACAACACAAGCGGCCTTCATCAGGTGAAGGGACCAACCTGTCCAGCGGACAGCGTTGGACAGGTTGGTCCCTTCACCTGATGAAGGCCGCTTGTGTTGTGGCCGAAACGTCGTGATTTTTGTTTTAATTTTGTACCTACGTGACTTTACCGAATAGAACCAAAGAGTATACACACAGCAGCAGTTTATCAATACGAACTGATTCTTGTAATAGAAGTCACATTAGTGACCTCACAACTGCTGAAGGTTGTCAATTCACTGTTGCGGGGGATGAGGGATGGCACAAGCGGTTCGCGCACTGCACGATGCAACCCACAGCATGGGTTTGATTCCTGGCCACGGCTAACATCAGTGAGCTCGTGATACATCACTAGCTAAATCACCAACTCGCACTGAGCGTCGCGGTGAAGTATGGACACACACACACACACCCGTGACTTTAACAACGCGGGGTCGAGGCCTTAACCCAGCAGTGTGTTGACAAAGAGTAGAAATCCTGCCCATGTGTCTCGCCACGATTATAAATCACTCTCCGCCGAGTCAACATCTTGTCTGAAATGAATCGTTTTAAAATAATAGCCTCCGAGGACAGACACGCGACGGTCGGTCAAGCTTCCTTGAGTGTCGAGATTATATTTTTTTTTAAAAGAGCTCAGGTTTTTTGTTGCACACCGCTGCATGTCAGGGTTTGTTCACGGGGGGTGGGGTGGGGGCGGGAGACGAGGCGACTCACCGCTCGTGAGACCAGACGAGTAGGGGAACTTGATCCACGGACATCACTCCGCGCAGAAACAGCAACAGCAGCAGGCCGAGTGAGGAGCATGCCATTCTTATTTCTCTCATTCACTCTGTCACGGGCTCTCTGTCTGTCTGAGCTCAGACTGTCCCGTCTCTCTGTTAGCGTGGCTCTCTGTCTTTGCTGTTCTGTTTCCCCTGTCAGCTGCGTATTTCTTTCCTTTCTGTGAAACTTGGCACGTCTGTCTGTTAGCTCGGTGTCTTTCTCGCTTATTCGGCGTTTGTGTCCTGTTGGCCTTGTCTGATCTCTCTGCCTTGTCTGCCGTGCCTGCCCGGTCTGTCTATCTTGCTCAATTTATCCTACGTCTCTCTCTCTCTCTAAGTCACTCCACCCTGTCCACGTGAGTCTTCTCTCACTCGATCACCTTGCAACCCCCACCCCCCCGCCTCCTCCTCTACCTGTCCGCCAAGCGATATCGCCGTTCTCTGCTCTCTCCCCCGGCTTATTTTCTCCAGCGCTCACCCCACACACACCTCAATCGGCCCTGCCTGTAGCCTTGCAAGGCTTATAAAGCAGCAGCAGCGTCGACAGGTGACGCAACTGCCCCATTCGCCACACGCGCACGTGCGCGCATACGAGATGATTGCAGTCGTTACCGCTCCAGCCCAGATTAGGGCTGATGGTAGCAGCAGCAGCAGCCACCCGTTGTTGTGCGACACACACACGGCTCGCGCGTGGTTCTGATCTACAAGAGCCAACAATGCTCGTGTTACTTTGCACACACACACACAGAGAGAGAGAACATTTTAATGGCTTTTGGTGAATGTTTTGACTGTGGATGCGCTGCTCGGCAGCGTCGCCCGCTGTCATTCTTTCTCTCGTTCGTTTCGAAGGGAATATGAAGGCAGGTTTCTGACTTCATTCATTCCAGAGCAGCGGTCAAGTGCAGCTCGGCATGGCCAATGGAGATGCGCTTGAGTGGATATTTTGGTTACGGAATAGAAAACAGTCCGCGAAGCGTGAACGAGAAAATGTTTAGAATCTTTTCTTTAGGCGGTATTACAGGTAATGGTGTAAAGTTCATCTTGTATAATGTATAAAAGTGTGTGTAACATCCAGCCAGCTTGCTATCGGAAGGTTGCAAATTCAAATCCTGGTTGAGGATTGACTCAGCCCATCATTTCTACAGGGATGATAAAATAGGTACCACTTTGTGACAAAGTCAACAGTGGCTGGGCTGATTTGAAGCTTTCGTGACTGTCTTCTTTGGTTCTCTCGGTAAAGTCACGTAGAATGAGAATAAAATAATAAATTGATAAAATAAAATAACACAATAATATTCTCACGACGTTTCGGCCACAACACAAGCGGCCTTCATCAGGTGAAGGGACGTGACTGTCTGGTAGGACAGCGCTGGAGTCTCGTCCCTTCACCTGATGAAGGCCGCTTGTGTTGTGGCCGAAACGTCGTGAGAATATTATTGTGTTATTTTATTTTATCAATTTATTATTTTATTCTCATTCTACGTGACTTTACCGAAAGAACCAAAGAAGAGGAATCATTGCAGTCACGAAAGCTTTAAATCGAAACTTTCGTGACTGCTATGGAGAGACTTGCCCCTGTCCTATGAATGTGGTTTTCCACCACTGGCTCACGGCTGTAAAGACGATGAGCGCCATTTGAATGGTCAATTGCCAAGTAAATAACTTTGATTTTATTTGCATTATGTAGACTTATCAGCTCTTGTTCCATGTCCTTTGCCAACGGTGCATCGTTCTGTTCCATATAGCACAGTGCAAAATGCGCACCGATTAAAAACGTAGCCCAATTGGCTACGTACGGTGGGAAAGAAGTTCAACATTTGTTGCATTACATAACCAAATACACATTTTTTTCAAAAGCACTTCAACCTGTTCTTCATCACCTCAGAAGTCTTGTTTAAATCTGGGTTTACCTTTAATAATAACTCACCTGGACACGCACCTCCGATTCCTCCTCACCTCCAATTGGCTACGTACATCGGAGGCGGTGCGCCTAAAAAAAAACATTTTTTTTTGTTGTTCAAGAAAACTTGTTGGCTGTGACGTTTTTTTGGTTTTGCCGATGTTTATCTTGAGCGCTTTTTTCGCAGCCATCTCCCGTCTCTCGGAAGCACATTTGCATGGACGAATACAATGACACAAAAACAGCAAAGTAAGCGAAGACGTGTGGAGAAAGGAGGGCAATGCTTTGAATGACACCAATAGAAAGACGAACAATGGTATCGGAGAGCATGAGCAAGTTGGAGGACATCATATTGCCCGCGAAAACGGCCAAGTCCTGGGCTCAATTACAGACAAACAACTACCCAGCAAATTTTGATTTGATGACTGCTTGTGTTGCAGTCGAAACGTTCGTGAGAATTTTATTGTTTGATATATATTTTATTATTTTATTGTTTCCCTTCAACGTGACTTTACCGAAAGAACCAATAATATGAACTACCCAGCACTCGATTGCCAAAGGGGATTTGTAAATATTTGTTGATTAGAATGATCGTCGTTGTCTTAATTGTTTTGCTCAATGTGCCCTTTTATAGTTCTGATGTAAGTCTCAGAGTCAGCAAAAGGAGATTCAGTTGCATTTAAATGCTGTTAAAATCCCAATTGTATTGTATATCCTTTGGTCAGGAATTTACTATTGAATAAATTAGTGTATGGACACACACACAGAGGGCATGCTTTACCTTTTAGCATAGACAGGTGAGGGCAAAACAGTTCAGATAAAATATAAACTGGTTTATCAAGTCATGGTTCCTTCTTATCGCTTACGTCCCAGGGTTGATTTGAGGATTTAGAAACAAGTAAAGTGCTCGCAACAACCGCTTGAGCCAAATCGGACACTGTCGTGTATGTCTCGTTCGGGAGCATCAACCACGAGCACCACATGAAACTCCGGTCGCCATCCTCGGCTCCTGGCTGAGCCATCGAACACAGGCGGCGGTCACCGCATCGTCGTCGCGCGCTTGCAGATGCGCTTCAGCGGCCGTCTGGAACGCTCTTCCTTCCGATATATTCGCAAGCCAATGGAGATTTGCGCTTTTAAATCAGATATATGTAAAAAAAAACCCTCCTTTCTTTAGAACTGCCATTGGTGATTAGTTTATTATCCTTCCCCCACACGTCCGATTGGCGTGGTTGGCAACGTATGGTGCGAAAGAATTTCAACAGAATACACTGTTAAATACACCACTTTGAAGTGATACCTATTGTACACTTTTAAAAAGGTGTAGCTGTGGCCAGGTGGTGTTATAGGTAGGTCAGATTTAGCAACCTTCGTTTTAGTACATGTTGCATTTCTATCCGTCACATCCTCCCCATCCCCCCTTACCATTTAAGCGTCCACAGCCAGTGAAGTATTTGTGTTGAGTCTAACTGACGTGTTCTATTGATGTTCACAAAAACGACTGTTTCACGAAAGGTGACGCGTTGTCTAAGCTCACGTATATACACTCAATTATTGACTGCAGCGAAGCGCTTTGCCCGTGTTTAAAGCAGGTTGTGATTTTATTTTTGTTCATAACTATATCTGTGCGTGGTAAGAGTGTATGTGGCTTGCAATCGGAAGGTATTAAGTTCAAGTCAGTCAAGTTAGGATTCAGCCCTTCATCACCCCACTGTCTATAGAATAGTACCACTTTGTGGAAATTCACCAGTACAGAGTAGTTGTACTGAATTATCAATAGACAGAGGAATGTGAAATATCTTCAATCGCTATCTTCCTTTGCTTCTTAATGCATAATTCTCCTCTCTCTTCTTCACACATCCGATTAGCACGGTTGGCTACGTATGGTGCTGTACATACATCTAGAGGCCGACCTTAATTCGCTTTCGGTTTTGGCGCCGAAAGTTGGCAAATGGCCTCTTCCGGCATCGTTTCTCTTTCGGCTGAAGCCAAAAAGATTACTTTCGGTTTACTTTCGGTGTTAGCCGAAAGTTAATTTTTTACTTTCGTTTACTTTCGGTTTCGGCCGAAAGTTTATTTTTTACTTTTGGTTTACTTTCGGTTTCAGCCGAAAGTTAATTTTTAACTTTTGGTTACTTTCGGTTTCAGCCAAAAGTACATTTTTAACTTTCGGTTTACTTTCAGTGTTAGCCGAAAGTTAATTTTTAACTCTCAGTTTACTTTCGGTTTCGACTGAAACCAGAAATTCAGTTTCGGTCGGCCTCTACATACATCTCTTATCACTACTGTATTATATCTGTTGATAACTTCATCTCTCTGCTGTCTCTCTTTTACCTTCTCTGGCATTGAGGCATCTTTATTACCCCTCTCTCTCTCTCTCTATCCTATAACACTCTCCCTTCAAGTTCTTACTGCGTCTTTCAACTGTCGCAATCAAACGCTTTTAACTTCCTGTAATTTAGATATCATCACGGTTTGACATTTCTGCGGAGGTCAAATGTCCATGCCATTTGAACAATGTTTTGGAAAACTCCCCAAAAACATGTGTAGTGACAGGGTGCCATCTGTTGACCATGAGGGATAACCATGGGTATGGGTGCGATATATAACAGCCAACCATAAGGGGGGCGTAACTGGGCCAAGGGTCAGAGGCGGGGATTAGTCGAGATGGTCCTGAAGCCTACACGAGAGTTCTGGAAGAGGGGCGTGGCCAGAGGCGGGGCTTGCCCACGCCGTGGAGTATAAAAGGGGGAGGTAACCGGAGGTTCGGGGCCGTCGAGGGGGTTCGGTCCTGGCTGCCGTCGCTGTCTTCGCCGTCATCTCTTCATCATCGTCCGGCCGTATAGCCGATCCGCTGTATGGTCCCCATCATCGTCGTCGTCGCTGTATAGCCAGCCAGTTATATAGTAGACGCCGGTGATGTGGCTGTATGAGTGGGTCAGCTATACATAGCCCAGTGTATATGTCGCTCAGTGACTCTGCCTGTAAAGTGTGAGAAATAAACAAGGAGCCCTCTACAAGTCGTGTCTTGGAAGTCGCTCACTACACATGTAATCACCAAAAAGGGGAATTTTAAATCATCACTACAGAACTCCTGATTGAGACAGTTTGCTCGCAATAATGTTTGTTGGTCTCATTCTTCACGGTGTCGTGTTGTTTATTATTGTTTTCCTCGTCTCGTTTGCAGGGGGTTTTGTTTGCTCCCTTCAGCACACAATTGGCGTACATTCAATCAGTCCGCACGCGCACAATTTGATGGGCGCATTGTGATGACGATAATCGAATATTTAAACGGAAAATCCACGCGACCATGGTGAGAGTGACACGCAAACCCCAAAAATACAGCAGGCGTCAGAGTAGGGATCGAACCCACACTCTACCTGTATACCAGGCGAGGTCGTTAACATCTCGCCACCGTACAACCGGGAGAGCCGTACGGTTCCCTCGATGTGCCTTTGCCCTGTCTCAAAGACGTCAACGATCGTGGCCTCCCATGTAGCCCTGTCCACGAGATTGCTCAAGACCTTTGCATTGGACCAGGGTGGTCGGCAAACCTGTGACTCCGGGTCCGCACGTGGCTCTTTTCAGGACTGCTGTCACGACG